AGAGAAAAGGAAGGGAAGGGGAGGAGGAGAGGGGAGGGGAGGAAAAAGAAAAGAGAAGAAGGAAGGGGGGAAAGAAAGGAAGGGGGAAGGGGGGAAAGGGAAGAGGGGAGAGGGGAAGGGAGAGGGAGGAAAAAGGAAAGAGAGAAAGGAAAGGGAAGGAGAGGGAGAGAGGGAGGAGGAGGGAGGAGAAGAAGAGGGGAAAAGAAGAGAGAAAAAGTACAGTAATAGTGCTAACTATAGGGTTAGTCTCAACTTACATCATTCTTTATTTGACTTGTCCCTGTGTGTTAATACCTGTCCGATGCTGGCACAGCTTCGACAGCACAAAACAACTTTCCATGAATGGCTCTTGCCCGTAAGCCATGGTTTGATATTGATACCTTTGCGAACGAATCCACGATCATGAATAGAATTTGCTTTCGTGGCGCACCTTAGGAATTGGGTGAAGTGTGGGACAGCGTTCAGAGTTGGCGATGCGATTAGGCGATGAGGTGACTGAGCGATGCCTTCAAGAACGTAAAGCAGGTTTTACCTTCGACACTAATGGTGTGGAACGATGCGCTAGCCCTAGTCAAGAACATAAGAAGTGTGACTGAACAAAAAACTCACCTTGGAAAGCCGCTAGAAAGGGAGCTGAACGGCTTCGAAGTGGGCGTGGTTAAATCGGCCGAGGGGATTGCAGCCGACCACGCCCACTTCGAAGCCGTTCAGCTCCCTTTCTAGCGGCTTTCCAAGGTGAGTTTTTTGTTCAGTCACACTTCTTATGTTCTTGACTAGGGCTAGCGCATCGTTCCACACCATTAGTGTCGAAGGTAAAAACCCTGGGGACTGTTGCTTTAAGCGGTTGGGTGAAAAGCGATTGGGCGAGCAACGATTAGGCAAGTAGGCGATAAGAAAGGGATTGTTAGAATTGTTTGCATTGTACAGTTTGTCTTATTTCGTTGCAATCTGTTCAATATTTGAAAGAGGAGTTTAGAGTCTGGATCTATGTGCTTCTCGACAAATCGAATCTCTCACTCGTAGTGGTTGTCCAATCGTCGATGGCTGTACAACTGTTCTGGCAGACATTTTGAACGAGGTCGCGGAAATACGCATTGAAGCCGCTGAAAGGATCTTTCCATCCCTTCTACTCTACGAGAGCAATGGTGATAGATTTATGAATTTCTCTGTTTGCTCTACGAAAAAATATTTTTCCATTCAGTCTCAGACAGTTCCGATCAGTGTCATGCAGTTCGTGATATGGCTGAGTTTTTACCAGTACTACTCGACCTGTCTCGCTTCTTGGCTAGGACCAGCTTGGTGTTCCGCAATTTGCTGTTCCAAATACGAGGATTCCACGGATTAGGGTGGGTCGGAGTAAGGCCTCACTGGAAAGGGTTCTTTTTTTAAACATTCATTTTGACGAAAAGAGTTCATGTGTGGCTGATTTAGCCTATTACTGGCTGGCATTTTCAGATCCGAGGATTTACCAGCGGCGTCTGAACGGAAGCTATTCCGAGCCTGGTTCGGCCTTGGTGAATTGTTGGCGGTACTTCTTCAAACGGACAAAATTATCGAATGCCGACCAGCGATACGGAATGACTGGAATAGCTATTCTCGGTTGGTTGCAAAGCTTATTTTGCTTAATTTTCTTGAAATTATTTTGTTGGTCAAAATACTGTGAGAGTTGTGTCATTCGTTCACTGTCATAACCCGATGGTGCTGACATGATTTCAAATTTGCCAGGGTTCATTGTTAGGGCCCCACTGCGAAGAATGGGAGCGATTCCTTCCCTGGCTTAGCCGACTCTTTCTTGATCTGTTTGAGATGCCCAGCATTTCCGTCACAGCCTAGTTTAGAGGCTCCAATGAACAGATCTTAGGGATCAAATTTCTGCTCTGCTGAATTTTAGAGCAATGGGTACTGCTCAACACAACCCGGCGCAGTTCGGGGTAACCGTTGAAGAAATCCGCCCACTGATTACAACCATCGCTACGATTGATGGGCAGGTCATGGCCGGAAACGGTCTTCGTGTGAGTCATTGACCTAGCTGGCTTCATTGACAATCTTTGACACAGCTGATTCATTGAGAAATTACCATTAGAGTAACCTTTTTAGAATTGCTACGAACAAAGCTATGGGGAACTAGACGATGACAAGAAGTTTGCTGCACGAATGCGAGCCGCCATCATCGAGATCTATAACCAGTGGGAGAAAGCGGCAGGTATCTAGTAATTTTCTGTCTCTTATGGTTCTAGATAGTTGCTAACATGCAAACTCATGGGTTGTTAGATAGCTTCTCAAATGAATGCTCAGGATAGGTACAGAAGCTAGTTGACCGTTACTGTGTGTAGTAAGATCGCGTTTATAGTTTCGATTTTATCGTGCGATTCATATTGCGCTATTGGTGCGACCAGTATGTCGCGCGCGGTTGCCTGCTGTCGCTTATTGCAAATTCGCCGTGAACATCGGCATAAGTCTTTTTCTACATTACTTTAGTTATTTCCGATATCGGTCCTCTAACTTACTTAAAGGCACAGGTCGGGATTGAATTGATGCTTTATTTTGTTCAAAAATTAGGCAAGGAAGTGCAATGAGGAACATTAGTGAGGAGAAAAAGCAAAAAGCCATAGAAAACACTAAATTTCCCTTGTGAGGCCGGCCGTAGTATGACGGAGACACAGCGCTGCGAAGAGGGAAAATGCAAGAGAGCACGCCTGCTGCCGCCAAGGCCGGGATTTACTAGGGAGTATTAATCTCAATGGAATCATTGCGTAGGATAGTGATAAATGTGGATTGAATCAATGTGGATTTAGTGTGGATTCATTGGGGATTACAACGAGATCGTGAAAAGTCGACGTTTTCGGCGAATAATGGCGCTATTGCTCGCGCCAATCGCGCGATTGGATCGCCAACTGTGAATGTGACCTAAGTGGGCCGACGATCTGGTCGGATTCTTATCTTTCCAACAGGAGTCTTTTATCATTGTTGAAGAAATCCTCACAAACATTTGTGAAATAATTGATTGCCAATGGCTTGAATAAAATGTCATACTTTCTATATTATAAAAATCAGAATATCTTTCGCTCATTCCTGATTCAGACAGCGACATGCCGGATAAATACCGACTGATGGTTATTGTATCGCTGTTCGTGTTTTTCAACTGCATTTCGCCATCAGTGACAATAAATTGGGGAAGATTATTTGGAAAAGTCATAAAAAGGTAGTTGCTTCTCTACAACATACGGGTGCTAAGTGAGTTGGGGGGGGGGACCACGCGGCGGCACAGTTTTTCAAGCGCGATGGGACTAAGCCTAAGCCTAGAAAC